ACACATAGATCTGAACCTTCTTCACCAGTCTTCCAAAGACAATCACAACAAATAATTCCTACTGCAGAATGGAATGACACCTTGGTCATTTTCTTATGGCAGGAATTCTCAGTCTGCATCACAGTGAGTCTCCCCTGAGCAAGAAATGAACCATCTGAGCCTTCCAGTACTGGGAGAAAACTCCACACATTCCTCAAGGCAAAAGGAAGATGGGCAGAGTTGACAGAAGACTCTCTTTCTCCAGGCAAAAATCCCAGCAGGTCAGACACAAGAACTTCCCACACTGGAGGAATGGCAGATGAAACTGATGGACTATATGGAACTGGCGGAAATGACTGGTAGAATCCGTGACCAGGGAGAAGAGTCGGTGGAGGAAGATTGGAAGAAATTCAAAGATTATCTACAGAAACACTGTAAAATTAAAGAATGTTAGAGTGATGTTGGATTGAAAATAAGTGGTTTCCAGCTGTACAGGATTTAAAGTTATAGATAGACTAAGATTAAGGATTAGGATTAAAGAAGTTTAAGGAAATGGAAATTTGGCTTTTAAGAGGCAAATTTTAATGTTATATTATATTAAGATTAAAGATTGGGATTAAAAAAGAGGGAAAGAAATTGCTGGACAAACAATTTGAACTGGAATACAAAAGAGGGAGGTATGAGGAGGTCCAGAAAATAAGTAAATTTAAAGATGGAAACGGAAAGGTGATATTGTTTTTAATTGTTCTCTTTTTCCTGTATTTTGTTTTTCTTTCTTTCTTTTTTTTTCTCTTTCTTTTTTGGATTATGTATTGTGCATTTTTGAATTGTGTATTTTTCGTTTATGTTTTTCTGTTTAATCTTTTATTGAAACCTTAAGAAATATCATTTAAAAAAAAAAAAAAAAAAACCCAGCAGGTCAAGCAGCTACAGATGGCATATCCTGCTTTTCCTTATGGAAGCAGAAACTGCTGCAAGAAGGAATTGTTCCTTTGGCCACTGCAGAGCTGCATCGGGGACGAAGAGTCCTCTGGTCTGAACAAGTCATAACACACATGATGGAGACTGTGGCTCAGACATCTCCAGGAAAAAACCACTTGGCCCTTTGAAAATTCACACCTCAGGGAATAGATCTGAAAGAATGGGGAAGGTTGGCGTACACACGTACACACACACACACACACACACACACACACAGGGGCTCAACTGCATCTAAGCTCTGTATGCTCTGCTCACCGGTGAATATTCCAAGTTGGCATTGTGGTCAGCCACATGATTCAAGAGATCTGCCATGGGCACCATCACTGGGGGATTGGGCTCCTCCTCATCTTCCTCTTCTTCATCCAAAGGCTCCTGGAAACTAGTGGGGAACAAAGCAGGGAGATACTAGACCGAGGCAGCTTTAAGTACAGCCAAATCATGTTGAGGTTGGTGAGAGGGAAAGAGATGCACATGGCTCTGAAAATGGCTACTAGTTTAGAAACTGCAACACACAATCCAAGAACTGCCCCTGAACTCAATCTGAGCTTTACTTTAAAGAGCCTCATCTAGAAGAAGAAGAAGAAAAAGAAGGAGTTTGGATTTGATATGCCGCTCTATCACTACCCGAAGGAGTCTCAAAGCGGCTAACATTCTCCTTTCCCTTCCTCCCCCACAACAAACACACTGTGAGGTGAGTGGGGCTGAGAGACTTCAAAGAAGAGTGACTGGCCCAAGGTCACCCAGCAGCTGCATGTGGAGGAGCGGAGACGCGAACCCGGTTCCCCAGATTACGAGACTACTGCTCTTAACCACTACACCACACTGGCTCTCTGTGCCCAAGCAGCATAGAACAGCCTTTTTCAACCTTGGGTCCCCAAATGTGATCGGACTAAAAACCCCATCATCCCTAGTGAGAAGGACCAGCAGTCAGGGATAACAGGAGTTATGGTCCAACAACATCTGGGGACCCAAGGTCGAGAAAGGCTGTTCTAGGCTGCTTGGGCACCCTAGATGAGGCTCTTTAAATTCAAGCTCTAGGAGCTGTGGGACGTTACAGTTAAAAAGTGGAGCATCTTTCTTCAGTAAAACCTAAATATGCTCCTCTAACATACATTATTTGTTCATTTGTATATTCCTGCCTCAACATACCAGTTTACATGCTCAACTGTAAAGACAGTCTGTAGAGCAGGAATGCGGAACCATTTCCAGTCTGAGGGCCGCATTCTCTACAGGTGCAACCTAGGAGGGGCCAGAGGCAGAAGAAGGCAGAGCGAAGGATGGAAAGCTTAACTTCCCACAGGAGGCTCGTTTCTACACATACTCCCTCAAACCCCATCCTTCATCCAAGCAAACAAGAAGCATTATCAGAGTTCAAAGACACATTCCAGCCTGGGGAAGAGTGCCAAGGACCAGCAGAGGGCCAGGTAGGCACATCTGGCCTCTGGGCCTGTGGTTCCCCATCCCTGCTGTGGTTTATACAAGGAAAGTTCCAACTGTCCAAGGCCAGATATGTGGAAAGGAAGAGAGGCACAGCAGTGACACTTCTCTCCTTTGTTGATCGGCAACTTTTGCTTTCCTGCCTTCTCAGTTCACCAAAAACTGAACCCCATCTGGGACTCCTCTATCAACTCACTTCCTGCATATATTTAGTTTCTCAACCTGAATGCTGCTCAGGTGCCATCTCTTTAAACTCCAAATCACAGTGTCCCAGATGGAAAACAACAGTACACACCCTGCTCACCCCTTGGCAATTTAGAGAGTAACCACTCCTGGCTCCCACCTTTCCTCTCTCTCTCACCTGTATGCCATGACAAAGGCCACCAGCTTCTTGTAGAGCTCCAGAGTGTGCACCTCAGGGTCAAATATATCTGGGTGGGCCTTCAGGAAAGGCAGGATGATGGTGGAATACTCTGTTTGGATATTGACCAAGTCCTTGTCCACAGCTTCTGGGATCCCTGTTCCTTGCAGAAGTCTCATCTGCTCTTCTTTACTCCTGTACAAAACAGCAAGCAGAAGGTGCAGTTTCTTTCTTTATGCAAGAAGCCAAGTAAGTGAACAATCAAAATGGTTCCTGTACAGCAGGCTACACTCTCTTGGCCAGAAAGCGGCGAGGCACTACAAACCAGTTGCAGAAGTGGCACCCAAGCAAAAAGTGGATGGAACATCCACTTTCTTTCTCCCTCTTCACTCCATCTATTCTCTCATGCATGCACACGCACGCACATACACGCGCACACACGTGCGCACACACAAACCCTCACACCAAGCACCCTCTATCTCCTTCATCCATAGCCCCATCTTCTCTCCCTCTCCAGACTGGGTGGATTAGCTGCGCTGAAGAAAGTAGAGTCCCCCAGATTGCTCACTTGTGCTGAACAGTACTGACAAGCTGGCTACTCCCTCATCTGAGATCTAGATATCACCTTGGTATCTGAAAGATCCAATATGTATTCTCAAACCATCCTAGTTTTCCTAATCCAAGACTAGAGCATGGTTTCTGCACTCTATGCACTCCCTCACCAAAACACCCTTTCATTATACTACTCTCTACATCACTCCCCCCCACCCCATCATAAAAAGAAGCACTTATTAACACCATTAACACCATTAATATTTGATTCTCAAGTGACGGTTGTTTAGATGACCCACTCTCAAGTGTTTTTAAACCTATTCTTAAGAAACTGTGAACAAAGAGGTGGAGGTGGGTAGACACAAACCTGCCCGAGGTTCAAACATGTCACCATTATCATCCAGAAATAAACTAGCCTCTCAATCAAACATCTCAAGTACCACCGAGCTGGTAACACCAGTGTCAAAAGTCTTTGATTTTTTCCTATGGAAGAAACTACAGTGCCTGCCTGCATCTTCTGGCGTAACAAGGGGGAATGAAAAGCCCTAGGACTGGAGTCATGAAGATATGCTCCAGCACAAGCACCTGACCATGCCCAGCCCAGCCTCATTTTCTGAGCTACTGCAAGCATGCTTCACAAGCATCCTTGAGGTGGTTGACTCTGCTCTGGACTCCAAATTTGTTTGGTGAAGATGTGCTGCAACTGATTTACCTGAGGAAGCTGGGTGCTGGCAGAACACAGCCAAACAGCCTCCCCTCTTACCAGAACATGGGGTGATCCAGACCCCTGAAGTTAGGCCACAGTGACAAATAAGGCCCCCAACGAGAATCACTGGCTGTGGACTCATGAAGCAAAGAAAGCAGGAGCGGAACCCAGCCGGACTGACTCTCCAGAGAGGCTTGCTCTATTAAAGGTAAATAAAATAGAGTGTAAGAACGCCAGAACTATTATCTGTTAAGAGAGCAAGCCAAATCAGCCAGAAACCTACGTCCATAGTTGAGAACACAACTCTCCAATCTCTCTCAAGGATGACACAGTTTGGGGCATTCTGAAGAATCTGGAAGCTTACTGAGGAGCTTGCTATTTCCTCCACCCCATTTATAAGTATCAACATGCACATTCTTCTTTGTAGGACAATAGCCACTCTATATCAGCCTTCCATCAACCTGGTGCCCTCCAGCTGTTGGACTATAATTCCTATCATTACCATGACTGGCTGTCAATGCTGTACACCATAGGTCAGCAATCTGGAGCCTCTACCTCCTTTAGCACAACCAGACACACACAGAGAATATGGATTTATTAATAGAGGGTACTGTGTGTGTGCATATGTACTATGCCAAGTGGGGGTGGTGGGAGTTGTAGTCCAATAGCATCTGGAGGGCACCTGCTTAGCAAAGGCTATTCTATATGATAGAAAGCACACTGATGCTGGTACACTGAGAGTTGTAATTCAAAACAGCTGGAGGGCACCTGGTTGGACAGGCTGCCCAATGAACATGAAGCTTTTAATGACGCTACAGAATCCCCCAAAAACCATTCCTGTACCTTTCTCTAGTAGGGAAGAAAGGGGGCTTGTGTACTGCGAAAGGACTGCCGTTCTTGGGATGGTGAAAAGGACTTCTCCTGCCTCAATGTCTTCCCTGGCCACCAAGCCATAATCTGCTACTGTGCCCTCTCTGCTCACGCTGACCTACAACACAGGAAAACCAAGTTTTTTCTCCAACTCCAAAAGGTTTTTTTTTTTTACTACAACCCTTAGTTACAGGTCCCTGGTTAGCATCACAAAAGCCGACCCTTAATAGATTAATTACCCTTTTGTACTCACAAGTGTAAACGGGAGTCCTTGGAGCCCAATCTTTATTGTTGCAACAAGACTTCCTACTGCCACAAAGATGAAGCAGCCAGAAGCCCATCAATGGGTTACACCTGTATTTCAAAGTTTCCCATAATACATCTCAAGATGCATCATCAAGACATAGATATGTCACAGAAAAGGTGTGGTCTCAGGTAGAACCTGAGATCCAGGCATGCCCCTGTCACTCAAATATAGTCTTTCACACTTCATCACAGTACAAAGCAAAGCATTTACAGTTCCCTGGTCCCTGAGTCAAGTCAAATGCAACCCTTTTTCTTGTCTGGGCTATCACCAGTCATGACTCCTTAGGAAGGCCCTGCAGATGGATGGGACTGTACATCCTGGGGATTACAGTGGGCTCTCTCACTCCACCCCTTATACCTCACTTCCCTGGGTCCTAAATGCCATTGGAACTGAGAAGATTAATAC